TACTATATGCATGCACAAGGTTTTGCTTGATGATTGCCACAAATATTCTATTAAACCACAAGGAAAACTCAATCGTATTATGACAAAGGTGGTGAATAAAGAAATCATAAAATGGATTGATGTTGAAGTTATCTACCCAATATTCAATAGTTCGTGGGCAAGCCCGGTGCAATATGTCCCCAAGAAAGGAGGTGTGACCGTGGTAAGCAACGAAGATAATGAGATCTTATCCACACGCACCGTCATTGGATGGAGTATTTACATGGACTATCACAAGCTTAACAAGGACACTAAAAATGATCACTTTCCTCTCCCTTTTATCAATAAAATGTTGGATCAATGGATATTATGGGTATAACCATATTGCTATAGCGCCAGAAGACCAGGATAATACCATATTCACATGCCTTCATGGTATTTATGCATTTAGGAGGGTGACATTTGGACTTTGTAATGCTCTAGCAACTTTACAATGATGCATGTTATCCATTTCTTTAGATATAGTGGAATAATTCTTTGAGATATTTATTGATGATTTATTCGTCTCAGGTTATGATTTTGATAAATGCCTAGGAAATTTAGCAAAGGTACTCAAGAGATGTGAAAAAGCAAATCTAGTCCTAAATTGGGAGAAGTGTCACTTCATGGTGACCGAATGCACGGTTCTAGGCCACAAGATCTCACAAAAAGGCATAGAGGTGGAAAAGGCAAAGATTGAGGTGATTAAGAAGCTATATCTTCTAACGAATGTGAAGGGCAATCGAAGCTTCCTAGGGCACGTAAGATTTTATAGTAGATTTATCAAGGACTTCTCTAAAATTTCCAAGCCTCTTTGTACATTGCTACAACAAAATCAACTATTGTTTTCGATAAATTTTGCTACAACGCATTCAAAGAGATGAATGAACGACTCATATCAGGCTCCATTGTTGTTCCACCTGATTGGACTACTCTATTTGAATTAATATGTGATGCCAGTGACTATATTGTGGGAGCAGTGCTTGGAAAGCTTCGAGGTAAGATTTTCATGTTTTTTACTATACTAGTCGTACCTTAAATGAATCACAACTTAACTACACAACCACTAAGAAAAAATTACTTGCTTTAGTATTTGTATTTGACAAGTTTAGGGCATACTTGATAGTCACTAAGATTATTGTTCATATTGATCACTCAGCTATCAAATACTTAGTGAATAAGAATGATGCAAAACCTAGGTTATTAGGCGGATATTGCTATTGCAAGAATTTGACTTAGAAGTTAAGGATAGGAAATGTACTCAAAACCAAGTTGTTGATCATCTTTCTAGGTTAGAAAACAAAATTGAATGCCATGACAATTCAGAAATCAATGAGAAATTCCATGACGAGAAAATTTTATTTGCTGCGACAATTCTGTGGTACGCTGACATTGTTAACTTCCTTGTTACTGGTATTTTTTCTTATGATTTAAATAGCCAGGGCAATATAAAATTCAGACATGATGCAAGATTTTATTATTGGGACGAGCCATACTTGTTCAAGCAATGTGTTGACCAGATGATCCTAAGATGTGTCCTTAAAAAGGAGCAAAAAGAGATTTTATATCATTGTCACACAGATCCTTGTGGAGGCCATTTTGGAGGCACAAGAACAATTGCAAAGGTTCTTCAATCAGGCTTCTATTGGCCCACATTATTCAAGGATGCATATGACTTCTATAAAGCTTGTGACAAATGCCAATGCACGGGGAACATCTCCATGCGACATGAATTGCCCTTGCAAAAATATTTTGGAGATAGAGCTCTTGAATGTATGGGGCACATAGACTTTATTAGACCTGTAACATCCTCCATACCATGTTAGTGATCAAATGGTGAGATTTAAAAACTCAGTGACCAAATTGGATAAATTAAAATTTCAAAGAATTGATTGTAATGTTTTGTGTAGGAGCAATTAGCAAAGAATAAAGAACTAAAGGGGTAAATAAGTCTTTTAATATGGGAAGCAATTAAATATTACTTTTGAAGGGATATTTTAATACCCATGTGGAAGACAATTGGGGAAAACAAAAGTTCCAGATTTCTCTTCTTCTTCATTCTTCTTCTCCACCGTGAGACCAAGTTAAAGGTGAGTTTTCTGGTTGAGCAAATTCTTGATGAATTTAAGGTTGCTTATTGATCATTAGATGATAACTAAGCTTAAGGAAAGCTTAGATTATCTTAAAACAATAAGACGAGGAGTACATGAAGAATTAAAGAAAGGAAGTAGAAAAGTGAAATCTTGGATTAGAGTTCATAATAAGAATTAGAAGTGGGATTTGACTTCTCATCAAGCTAATTAAGGAATAGGAAGTGTTTGAGTTAGATTAAGAACATGTTGGAAGTTGAGTGAGATTCTTACATTTTATATGGAGAATTGTATTTCTAAGTTTTAGAGGTATGGAATGGATAATAATTAGTTTAAGTAAGAGTATGCAAGTTAGGGATATTAAAAGAGAGGAAATATAAAGTGTTGAGAAGATTATGAAGAGAATTTCGTGCTAAAATAACATTTCTGGGCTATGTGCATTGATGCATATTCAATGTGTACCGATGCATCAAGGATAAATCCTAGAAATTGTTCAAGGTGTATCGATGCACATGAAGTGCATCGATGCACTCCTTTAAAATAAAAACATCGAATGACATCAATGTATCGATGCACAAGTAGTGCATCGATACACCCCCTTAAATACAAACATCGAATGTGATTTATGTATCGATGCATAGATAGATGCATCGATACATGGTGTAGTGCATCGATGCATACCTTCATTAAAAGATGAAAATGGCTTTTCTTTTAGCCTAAGGAATGATAGTTTAGAATATATTAATTAGTATAATGATAAGGATCAATGAATTACTATGTTGATACAGAGCCTACACAAGTTCCAGAGCGATTACCTAATAAGATCAATCGAGGAAAAAAACAAAGAAATATAGGTGAGTGCATATACATAACATGATTATAGTGAGATATTCAGTTCTAGACTTGTGACAAATCTAGATTCAATACATTGATGCATGATTCATTTCATATTGTGAAGCATGATATGAATTCATACTATGTGCATTGTGTAACATGTTTTAAATGAATATGTATGCAAAGTTATATGAGTCATGGGATGAAGGTAAGGAAATGATATGTCTATGTGATATACTATGTAATTTGAGAAAAACCCATGTTATGTGGATGAGAACTATAGGTATAGTTGGCATGCCAAGAGTAGAGGGTCTATGCGGTCCTTCGAGACATATATGTATTATTTGGAACATGTGTAAGGTCTTTTGAGACACATACTTGATCCTTCGCATATGTATATGATTCTTAAGGGATTTTCTACATGGTCCTTAGGGACAATCTTATATAGCACTACGGTGCAATTCTACGTGGAACTTCGGTGTAATTCTATGTGGCACTTCGGTGCATTTATACGAGCTGTGGTGACAAAATAGTGCACAACCTCACAGTACTCATATACCTTAGGTTCTCAGTGTGGTATCACGGGCCAATAATCTTATTAATTCGAATTCATGAATGTTAATGTACTATGCTTATAGGTAAGGAAATGGTGATATAAACTGCATGGTTAAGTATTTGATTTCATCTCATTCCATTTTATTATGGTATTTTCATTACATTTCTTTCTTGTTATTATTATTATATTGCCTCACTAAGTCGATGACTTAGCGTGTGAGTGTTTAACACGTAGGATCCAAGAAAGTAGACGAGACAAATTAAGCAGCTGGACAACACTACTCCTGCAACTATCAGATTAGAGGCAACTTAATCAGTAGGTCATTTTTTATGTAAATGAATGTTGGCATGTAATCAAAGGGTCAAGTTGTGTATGCTCTGAGTATTTTGATAAACTTGTATTAACAAATGTATATTATTGTATTTTAATAATATATGTTCAAATGTTTTATCGTTTTTTTAAGAGTATTGTTTTGTATAGTCAATGTGACATCCTGGACTCGTATCCGGGTCGGGTATGGGTTGAGGGTGCTACATTTAATGGTATCAAAGCTATGGTTTAGCCGATTCTAGGCATAAACCAGAGTCTATAGAGTCTTCAAATGGAATACATGCCAACAAATAGTGAGAACTTCTGATCTGGTATAATATGAGTATGTTGTGTTGCTAATAGAATAGTGTGTTTATTTTATTAGATGTCCGGACATAATAGCTTCTGATGTGAAGAGGGAGAAGATAGGCATGCTGAAAGCAGTAATTCACCTGCCCTGGCCAGGAAAGGTGAAGGACATACATCTCAAGGAGTGCCTGAACAAGACCAAGACACTTTTTTCAGGACGTTAGACGCTATTCTGACGCGTCTTCAACCTCCTACCCCACCAATTCAAAGAATGAATGCAGCTGTCTCCACTGTTCTGAAGTGGAGAAGTTAGATGGAGCTGTCTCTTTACTGAGGAGTCAGGCGAGGATATGGTGGACGAACGTCACCATGAGGATGTCAAGTGACCAGTTGATTTGGTCTTTGTTCTTTGTTCTTAAAAGAATTTAAAAACAAGTATATTGGAGATCAGTTCATTCGGCAAATGAAGCATGAGTTTATGAACTTGAAACAAATGAATCGCTCTGAATATGAGTATGAATGCGAGTTCAACAAGCTGAGTCGGTTTACATCTGAGCTTGTGTGTAACACCCCCAACCCGTATCCGACCCGAATACGAGTACGAGGTGTCACATTTACTTTTCAAAACATTTACTTGAATAAAATAATGAATAATTTAAAACTTTTATAACATATAAATGACTAACTTACATCAAATACATTTACATTATTGTAAAATCCGATATCAGAGCATGCATAATTCACTTATTCATCTACATATAACTTATTCAAAACGTTTACAAAACTATTCAGAGCTTATAAATATATTCTTTTGAACACACGCCAACTAGAACTTTATATACAAAAAGACATATTATTCACCTCTTTTCTGATATGATCTTCAGTAAGGAGAACTAACATGTCTTGATCCACATTGCTCTTTACTCTTCTTCTCGTTTCTGTAACCTACGTGTGAAACAATCACACGCTAAGTCTATGACTTAGTGAGGCAATAAACATATAATGTAAACTATAACTTGTAATCATGCATGAACAATTATTGCTATCACATCATACCCAAACATATATCCATTCATTTATCAAATCCTCACATGCATATAATTATCTTCTTTTCTATCATTATCATATTATTACCATTCATATTTCTATTCTCTTTTTTATATGATCCATTATGTTCACATCATATATCTTATAAAATATACAATAATCACTAACACACATATATCATATCATATCATATAATTCATATCACAAACACACACACACACACACACACACACACACACACACACACACACACACACACACACACATATATATATATATCACATACATTGTATTCAATGTTATCTCTTATTAGCCCATGTACACATGTCACTAATTCTTTTTATCGTATAAATATATACTAAACATTTCTATACACATCATGGTACACATATATCAATTCACAATCGAACACACGTCATATCATATCAATTGATTTATTTACTCTCTTTAAAGTCTATGTATTAGACCATGTATACTTTTGAGAACTTAAGGTAAGTGAGTAAATTGAGGTTGTGCACCACTATGTTGTCACCACAGCTCGTATAAATGTCCCGAAGGACCTATCCAGAGGTCATAAAGAACCTCGACAACTGTCCATAGGTTCCGAAGAACCTAGGTAAGCTGTCCATATATTCCTTAGAACATAGGTATACTATCCATATGTCTCGAAAGACATAGGTAATTCTGTCCATATGTTCCGTAGAACATAGGTAAACCCTCGACTCTTGGCATGCCAACTATACCTACAGTTCTCATAACTCATATCACATAACATGGGCATTATAATTTATAACCTTTCATATCACTTGTTCTTTCTCTTCTGTCACATACCACATGTATATGTAACCATATATTTCATATCATATCACATGTATCACATATTGCATATTCATGTAATCATATAGATCATGTCACATAGCTTATATCATTTCTCATATTCATATATATATAGTTCACTTTCACATATCACATTTTCCTTTTCTTCTATTTTTCATATCATGTCTCTTATAACCACATATGTCTGTCTTATCTTATATAATATAAATATCTTATATCACATGTTTATATCATATAACTTATGTAATCACATATACTATTTATACTAGTTCACATAGCTTATTTCACTAACATGTATTCACACAATTCATGTAACATAGGCAATAATATATATATCACATACACTCATGTATATAAGCTCTAATATGGAAAATATACTTACCACAATTCACATAGTATATCCCATAATCATGTAACTTTTCATGCATGTTCATTTCAAGCATATCACATAATGCATATGGTATGAATTCATATCATGTTTCATAATATTGAATGAATCATGTATCAAGATATTAAATCTAGACTTATCGCAAGTCTAGAACTGAATATACTAACATAACCATGCTATGCATATGCACTCACCTTAGCCTTGTTTGCTTTGAATCAATCATAATCCTTCGATTGTTTCAGAACAAGCTTTCCTTCTATATCTATATAGTAATACATTGATACTTATCGGTATACTAATTGATATATTCTAAACTATCACTTCTTAGGCTAAAATAAAGGCTAATTTCATCTCTTAATGAAAGTATGTATCGATGCACGACACCATGTATCGATGCATCCCTTGACGGGTGCATCGATGCACTATCTATGCATCGGTGCATAAATCCCATTCGATGTTTGTATTTTAAGCAGGCGCATCGATGCACTCTTTATGCATCGATGAACTAATTGCATTCGATGTTCATTTATTTGGCAGCGCATCGATGCACACAACCCAGAAATTCCATTTTAAGCACGAAATTAACTCTCTTTCATCTCAACTCTTCATCTTTCCCCTCCTTTAATATTCCTAACTTTCATACACATATTTACACTCATTCTTACTCAATAATCACTTCTTTAACCTCCAAATCATATCCTTTATATGGAATTTAAGAATCATACGCAAATATCAACATGTTCTAAATCTCATCCTAACACTTCCTATTCTTTATTTAGATTGATGACAAGTCAAATCCAACTTCCAATTCTAATTATTAACTCTATAACAAAATTTCATTCAAAAACTCACAATCTTTAATCTCTTCTAATTCCTTCATCTTTTGATTTTAAGATAACTTAAGCTTTCCTTAAGCTTAGTTATCATTTAATAATCATAAACCCATCTTAAATTTAACAAGAAACTAATTAACCAGAAACTCACCTTTGTTTTGGGTTCTCACGCATGAATGAAGAAGAAGAGAAAGAAAACTCTGGAAGTTTGTAGATTTCTCTTCCCTTCCACGTGGTTAATATATAACCTTTCTTTAATTTAATTATTTCCCTTATAAACCCTTTTGCCCTCCACTTCATCTAATAATTACTTACCTCTTTCTGGTAATATTTCTAAATAAATCATTAAACTATTCCATTCTTCTATTTTAGTCACCAAGTTCTAAAATTTTACAATTTAGTCACTAACCCATAGATTAGGATGTTACAAATCTCCCCTCCTTTTAAGAAATTTCGTCCTCGAATTTTTATTGCACACATTGATAAGAACATATCTTCGTAACTCTTATAATCCATATGAATTGCCCAAAATTCTTGTTCTTATACAAAATCCTTATCTTCTTTTCCAAGTCTTATAACTCTATCACCTTTAATATTACAGCTAATTAATAACAAATATTCAATTTAGGGCACAAGCCCTAATTAACCAATCATATACATCCAACCTTTCATCATTTCTTAATCCTTGTTTGTACTTCAATACACATGATCTTTTCATATTACTTTACGCACTTTTCTCATTTCTATATCAAACTTATAATCGATACTTCTTGTATAACCCTTATCATATCTAATGTTGTAAACTCTATCCTTTTCTTTCTTTATTCCATTACTTTCCATAAATCATAATATCCTTATAACATCGATCATGTTTTTTTTTTCATACTTCCTTACCTTCCCTCAAACATAAGAATCATTATTTCCTTCACTATATCACATTCATATATAATCAACATAATTTTGTTCATGTAATCTTGTTAGCCAACGCTAACTCTTTCTTCTAAAGTACCAACCCTTATCATATTCACACTCTTGCTTATACACAATACTACCCCTTTGTTTCAAATCCATAACTCTGATTTCATTCAACTTATAAACATATCACAGATGCACTTATTCTTTAACTCTTCTACAATTCTAACCACATCATTTGATCTTTTTAATGTTCTTATGGTGACATTTATTCACCATATTCTATCTTATTAACATACTAACAAAACTAATCCATATCATTTTTTAAATTCAAAACAATGAAGATCTTTTATTACTATTCTAATATGATTTCAATCTTCTGAAATCAACCTTAAATCTTATAGACACTTTCTGAGGTTTCCGCTCTTGATCCTGCCTGGCCAGGGCAGGTGAATTGCTATCACCATCAGATTTGTCAGCTATCGTTTCACTTCAACAATTTCTATAATCCATTTCTACTATATCATACAAATCTTATTCTATTAGCAAGACAACATACTCCTTACACTATCATATCAGAAATTTTCACTCTATGTTGGCATGTACACATTTTAAAAACTATTTTACCTTCGGTTTAAGCCTAGAATCGACTAAACCTTAGCTCTGATACCATTAAATGTAACACTCCCAACCCGTATCCGACCCGAATACGAGTCCGAGGTGTCACATTGACTTTTCAAAACATTTACTTGTATAAAATAAAGAGTAATTTAAAACTTTTATAACATATAAATGACTAACTTACATCAAATACATTTACATTATTATAAAAACCGATCAGAGCATGAATAATTCACTTATTCATCTACATATAACTTATTCAAAACGTTTACAAAACTATTCAGAGCTTATACAATATATTCTTTTGAATACATGCCAACTAGAACTTTATATACAAAAAGACATATTATTCACCTCTTTTCTGATTTGACCTTTAGTAAAGAGAACTGACATGTCTTGCTTCACATTGCTCTTTACTATTCTTCTTGTTTCTGTAACCTACGTGTGAAACAATCACACGCTAAGTCTATGACTTAGTGAGGCAATAAACATATAATGTAAACTATAACTTGTAATCATGCATGAACAATTATTGCTATCACATCATACCCAAACATATATCCATTCATTTATCAAATCCTCACATGCATATAAATTATCTTCTTTTCTATCATTATCATAGTATTACCATTCATATTTCTATTCTCTTTTTTATATGATCCATTATGTTCATATCATATATCTTATAAAATATACAATAATCACTAACACACATATATCATATCATATAATTCATATCACAAAACACACACACACACACACACACACACACACACACATATATATATATATATATATATCACATACATTGTATTCAATGTTATCTCTTATTAGCCCATGTACACATGTCACTAATTCTTTTTATCGTATAAATATATACTAAACATTTCTATACACATCATGGTACACATATATCAATTCACAACCGAACACACATCGTATCATATCAATTGATTTATTTACTCTCTTTAAAGTCTATGTATTAGCTCATGTATACTTTTGAGAACTTAAGATAAGTGAGTACATTGAGGTTGTGCACTATTATGATGTCACCACAGCTCTTATAAATGTCCCAAAGAACCTATCCAGAGGTCATAAAGAACCTCGGAAACTGTCCATAGTTTCTGAAGAACCTAGGTAAACTGTCCATATGTTCCTTAGAACATAGGTATACTATCCATATGTCTCGAAAGACATAGGTAATTCTGTCTATATGTTCCATAGAACATAGGTACACCCTCGACTCTTGGCATGCCAACTAT